CAAGAAATATATAATAAAAAGACATCAAAAACAACATGATACAGCAAAAATAAATAAATGGGGATTCATAAACATCTCAGGTCCAAAGAATCTGGATTTTCAAGCAGCTTATTTCTTTGACTGTCTGCTGATTGTAAAGCAGGAAGTTTCTCTTAATGTACAAAGATCACCATTAAAAAACTGTGGACCCATTTATTGAATAGTTGTTTATCTATTATTTAATTACTCTGGCGTACGGTCTTTATCAGCAGGAAAAGCTGTAAAACAAGAGTCCAAAATTTTTGCCCCTTTGCATAGTTTCCAGAGCCGTCCAGAGAGCTGGACTGGAATCTGTGCTGGTCTGATTCTGGCCCTCGGGCCTTATGTTTGGCACCCCTGCCGTAGAGAAACTACAGGAATTGCTGACAGCGTGCTAGTGACTTTGTTTCCTCCCCTCCTCGATGTGCTGCGTGCTTTCACGACGTTCATGTTTTAGTTGGTCTGTGGTTTACAGAATGTGCACTGAATGATGCTTAAAGATGACTCAGTGGGTTGAAACACGAAGGGGTCCAGAGTAAGCTGTGGATGTGACGAGTCGTGTAAATTGATCCAAATCTGTGTAAAATTGCAAACATAAATCCCCGTTGTGTTCAAACTCGCAGTGATTTCATAAAAGTATGCTTTGAATGGCTCCTGCTAGATTAAACATCAAAGTGCACCTTTGGGTGGCACGAGGAACGTTTCTGTTTAACAAGTCAAAAAGCCAAAAAACAGAAACATCTTTCTGAGTGAGGTGAAAGCTTCCCGTCGTGGTAAATACAACCCAGTATTCATGTCCCCCACCTCTTAAGCATGTATGCTTGACACAGTAGATGACAATATGAATACAAACCCTTCACAAGTGCACTCTGGATAGAAATCTGTGGGGCTGATTGGTCTGCATTTGGTTCCTGCAGGCTCGTTGTGCAGTTCTGCTTTTGTCATCTGCTCTTCGTCGAGCTCCACGGCCGTCTTCTCTTTGCTCTTCTTCTTTCCACAACAGGAAACATGCTTTTTTTTGGCAGCAGATGCTCCACACTCACACAGACACACAGTGACATTTAAATCAGTAAACAGTTAGCAACTGGTGACAGAGCACATTCAAAACAAAACAACTTTATTGAACAGTTTCCTCATTCTGATAATCCCTCATCCATCACCGCTGCAGTCTTTGCAGTCTGTTGTCTTTCTGTGTGTGTGTGTGTGTGTGTGTGTGTGTGTGTGTGTGTGTGTGTGTGTGTGTGTGTGTGTGTTACGTCTCACTGATATTGTCACCAATGTGACCTCACAGAGTCTCTACAGTAGATCCCCCATCTGTTACACCCTCAGAGACCTGTGTATGGACACACACTCGCACACATATACACACACAAGCTCCTTGGCAGCTTGGTGTCTCTGCAGGAGCTGCCATCATCCCAGTGGAGAGCAGCCGAGAAGGGTATTACGTCTCTTTCCTCTTTTTTTTCTGGCTCTCTGTCTCATGTGACATCTCGCTGGTGTTTATTGAAGGTTTAGCAGCATCATCATCATTTTTCCTTTCGCCCACACTGGTGTGACTCGAACGCCTTTGCACACGAGTGTCACACATACTCGCACATGTCAGTTGTGTCAATCCAGTGGGGATCAGCGCGGTTACTCAAAGATACGGTCTTTATTCTGAGGTCGTACTCATTTGCAGACATGCGGGTAGTCTGCGCGGCCAGATGAAAGTGCACGTGCACTGAGCTTTGTGCACAGCCACTGATGATGTCATTCACATCTCTCACACATTATTCATTCAAGCAGACCCCTACATTTATTCCATGTCTGAAAACTAAAGCCTTTAAACCTGCATTCTTTTGGCCAGCAGGGGGCGACTCCTCTGACTGTGCATATAAGTTAACTTAAGTACGGGATTATAAGGCGCATTAATCGACACAAAACAGTCAGATAAGTCAAACTTTACTCAGCTCGTTCTTCTTGCTTCCTCCACTTCCATAACATTGATTCATTAATGTTGAATTCTCTGCAGCTGCTCTATTCCCATGTTGTTGCAGTATATTAATGACTAACCTGGTACTGTGGATGGATTATCTCAGTTGTTCTCCTGACTGAAGCTGGCTGCAGACTACGGCAGCCGTAATGCTCCAACAGTCCATCAAGCGGTGCGGCTTCGTAGCTTAGCAGAGTCGGACTAAAACATTTTTGACAGATTTTTGAGCGCCGTGTAGCACATAAAATCGGTTCGAGGTCAGTGAGCACAACCAGGATTCATACATAAGGTCACCGGATTATAAGGCAAACTGTTGATTTTTGAGAAAATAAAAGGATTTTAAGTGCGGTAAATACGGTATATGAGAAAATACCCTTCGGCTCACGCTCGCTCTGACATTTAGTAAAAACGTTCCTCGTGAGTTCAGCGTCACAATCGGTGGTTACAAGTTTTATTGTAAACAGCAAGATATTCAATAAACAAGTGCACACGGTAACACCAGGACGACGTTTTTACAGGGAACAATTATACTGCAAGTAGTTTTAAGTACTGCGTTATTTCATGGTTGTGTACGCTGTAGTACACTGTACTTTCTGTTATGAGTGGACTAATCTTGCTTTTTACATCCTTGTTTAATTTGCATTATGTTGATGTACAGGATGTGTGTTCCATTATTACTGTGTAAACACTTACGTACAGCACTTACTTATGGTGTCATCGTTTCTTTGTGTCCTGTTACCCCCGTGTGCCTGCCTTTAAATATTTGTAGGTAAATATAATTGCATTACACTCTGATATGCTCTCCGGCCTGTGTCAGCGGGGATCAGCACATTCCCTACTTCCAGTCAGAGGTGCTCAGTGCAGCCTGACATGTAAAGCATTTTCTTTAACGTGTGTGGAAAACGGCAGCTGCCACTCTGCTGTCGGCCGTTGCCAAAAAGCAATTCTGTGTTCATGTGGGGATCCTCGGCACGTGAACAGAAGGCTGCCCGGCTCGCACCGCGGACCCGTAATGTAACACGATGGCCCGTGACCACTTGTAAGCTTGGAAAACAAACCCTGTGCCGCCAACACCTGCTGTGGATTTCACATCACCTACATGCCAGCTTGCCCTGCATGTGCAGACCTTTAATTGGGAAATCCGTATTAGCAGCATTACTTTACTTGTTGAACGGCAGCGACGGGCAGATATGAGCCAGAGTACACTGCCCGATTCCAACCAGCCTCTCTGCAGAGATTTGTTCTGTATATTAAATGTGTCGTGGACGTCAAGCGGTTTCCTTTCTTTCACACAGACATGTTAACCTCCACAGCTTCCTCTTTGTTGTCACTCCTCATCATCTTCCTGTCTCTGTACGATTGTAAATGCTCCTTTGTCTCACTAAGACGGGGCTGTGGGGGTCTCCGCTGCTGCTCTTACTCCAACCATTAGGGAAGAATAGGGTGTGGGGGGGGTTGGACAACAGGAGCCCATCCTGAGTGGTCAGTGATGGGACAGCTATTTTCATAAGTCAGAAGCACGGCCCCTACTGTCAGGTGTGGTCCCTGGGAGTACTTACCTCTGCTGTTTGTGTGTATGCATGCTTGTGTAATCACAACGCCACGTTTAAGTACACGGCCACTGTTGTAAAATGGATCCTTGGGCAGTGATTCACACGGCATGGGGCTGTCCACACACGCTCACAGAGCCTCAGCATGGCTGGGTGGAAGGGCATCTGTGCACCATTCTCATTAAAAGACCACGTCGCTGAAAGCAGGTGTCCTCGCAAACACGCACCCAGACAGAGGAACGGCACAATTTATAGTGCCGAGGGTGAAAGCAGATCAAACACAGCCGATAACCAAAATTACGATCGCCGCTCGTCTTACCTCGCGCTCCTGATAGTGTTTTAATCTTTGTGCGGCTCTGGCTAACAGCTCATCTGTCCTTCAGAGGTGAAGCAGCGCACTGTTCACACTCGTTTTCACATAATGCGTCTCTCCATCATTCCCTCTGTCATGTTTTCCCGGCTCAGTTTAATAGAAAACGCACACACAAACACACCAACGAAGCTGTCTTTTTAATAGCTTGTCCTCTTGTTGATCCATCGTCGTGGCGACCCATTTAAACGTTGAATGACCAGCACGAGGAGCGAGCTATGCAAACATCCTGTAAGTGGATGGATTTGATAGAGTTTAAGGAGCAAAGACCTTTGCGTGGCTACAAACGTCAAACGGACCCACAGACTCGCAGTAGTGTTTATTATTGTAGTGCATGTGAATGTAGCCGCCGCTCGTAGTGACGAAGGTGAAATAATAGAAATGTTCGATTAAATTTTGGTTTCTTTTTTTTTATCTCACTACCTGTTAAATCCTCCGTGCTCCGAGGATGCGCTTGCTCCTTATTTTATGGGAAATCGAATTCCTCACCCAGAAACCATCTTTACATACATTTGCATATTTTTGTCAGGTTCCATAAAACGTCTCGCACCGTTGTGGGTGGTCCTGGTCTCCCCACCCTATCTGAGAAATGCTGCAGTATAGCATCCATCCTCTGCTCTAAATTCATTCGGACATTTGCTCTGTTCTGTGCCGAGCGTGAGAAATCACAAATAACAAAAAGGACGCGGCGAAATCAGCCGAATAAAAACATTTTAGCTGCGGCGGAAAAACTGAAAAGTTGCCAAACCACGCGCATTGCTTTGGATGGACTTTTCCAGCCTAATGAATCCTCACTGTAATTATGTGCTGAAAGTAGCTAACATTCCTCTTCTGGGTGTTTTGAAGTTCTTTCCAAGGTCGGAAAGCTTCCTATCAGGTCTGGACAGTCAGTCTGATGGGGAAGTTTTTCCAGCAGGGAAAACAGTTTTCTGCAGAGCAGAGGACTTTTTGTCGGCTTAACGCTGTTAAACCTACAATCCCCACAGACAAACAGTGTCTAAAGCTGACACTGCTGACCCAAACAAACACACAGAGGCAGACTCAGGCTGACTTAATGCATGTGTGTGCAGAGCCACATACACAGACATGGACTCACTCACAGATATATAGTGTAAACAGACAAATCAATGCAGTAATTTATGTGAAAGTATAGACAGTCATGGAGAGAGACGACACAAAGCTGCAGCCACTGAAACTTTCATGCAACAGGAAACACACACACACA